AAATGCTTTATTCAAATATTTTAAGTTTTAATAATTTTAAAATGTCCTTGAGAGAAAAATATTTCTATTATTTCTTTTTAAAATGTGTTTTTAACTTTTCAACCAGAAAAAAGGAAATCAAGTTAAAAAGGAAATCAACAACAAGTCTTTTTCCCCATTTATTTCCTTTCCTTTCTTCCTCTTTTTCCAGGGAAAAATAAGCTGGCATGGAAAGGGGAACTAAAATGTTTGGGAAAGAAGGATTTTGTTCATTTAAGAGGTTTTACTTTTTTTTAGTGACATCTTTAAAAAATAGAAGATGAAAACAAAATCCTTTCTCAGAAAGTATTTAATAGAATTATTTTTAAAAGTTTGAATGTTTTCATATACGTTACCACCACTATGAATTTGTCTAAAGGATATATCCGCATCACTCCAGCCATCATCTTCTTTCCTCATTTCAAGTCCTGGTGCATTATTTCTTTTGTATATTTAAAATCCAAGCAGCAATTAGAGCCCTCCAGGATAGACATCAGAACTATCTAAATAAATAAAAAGTCTGTGAGTCAAGAACAGTCTCCCGATATCATATCACTACTGAGGACAACATAAGGCAGAAGTGGAGATCTGACTATGCAACTGGAGATCTTTGTGCAAGACCTAATACGTAGATGTGCTCTTTCTGCCGCAAGCTGTTATATGGAAAGATGCATTGCCAATGCTTTTTGTCACCTGATGAAGAAGGGTCCACAACTTCCAGGATTACCCAGGAACTGTGCTGACAAAAAATGTCTTCTGGAGATGCGACCCTTTGAGCATGGAATTGCCAAAACTTCTCAAAACTGCCAGATACCCACTGTTCATTTTACTTGCTCTCCCACCCAGCCCACATTGCAGAAGGACAGAGGGAAGGAGCAGCAGAAATCAAAAAGGAAGGAGAGCAATAGGAAGTGAAGCTGTGCAAGCAAGACATAGGTAAGTGGAGACTGTCACTGATCCGTGCAGGAGCCCTTCCCCACACACCTTTGCTACACAGAGACAGAGGATCAGGGTGCGCCCGGGGCTCTTCAGCTTCTTCGCTACAGCCTGACCAGGCCACTCTGAAAGCACTAAAGCTTTCCTGAGGACCGTGGCTGCCATGGAATCCAAGAGAGCAGTGGGACCCCAGGTTCAGGATTCAAATTGACTTCACTGCCGCAATTACTAGTTACATCAACTATCCTTTCACCCCTTCCCTCAGAATGTATCTGTGATCTATAGACATGTGATAAAATTGGGCTTGAACTTATTTTTTCCTAATGTTTGGTTGTAATTTTATTTATTTATTTATTGGTTGCCTCTTGAGATATCTGGGGACCATATTTGAAGTAAGGTTGTAAAATGTGTCAGGTGAAAAAAGCCCAGCATCTTCAGATAACAGATGTTTTTCATGTATTTTTGGCTACATTTGTGGCCAGGACTCATCAGAAGGTAGAAGTTCTCTAAATTCTGTGAAATTCTGGTGTTCCAAACATATTCTGAAATAATACTGAAACACTGAAATTTATGACAGATGTCCACAATACAGAAGCTATTTCTGTGTGCATCACCCCCAATGCACAAGGTTTCATTTGAGATTGATTTGACGCTGACATACCACCCTACTCTAGAAATGCACAGGGCTTTGATGCTGTGCTTATGCTAAATTTATGCTGGCACATGTCCACTCCCCAAAGTGTGTTAGTTCAGGTGTGTCACAGATTACATCAGTCACCTTCTCCCAAGGAACTTTCATCATGGAAGGACGTTTAATGCAGAGGGCGTGAAATGCTGGTCCTACTGACTTCGGTGGATTCAGGATTTAATTTCCAAGAGTCCAGATTTTCACCAGAGAAACTGTACATGGAGCTCTGCTCCAGGGAGAACTGAAACAAGGTTTGTTTTTAGCAGAGTCTTCATTCCAATACGGATGGGAAAAAATATTTAGGATTCATCTACCAGTGACTCTTGAGCTAATCTGTTCACAGCTGAATGATGATACAAACTGGCTGTTTGCCCAGCATTTTTAAGAATTCTTCTATTTTCTATCTAAAAGCTGTTAGTATTACAGCAGGAGATACTAATCTAAATATTACTGGAATGATTTTAAAGACATCTTTATAAAGCACAGACCAGATCTTGAACATTCTCAGCCCTTCTCATTAATGTATCAGAAAACCCACTAAACTACAGCTAACTGTTATTGTAACTTACAGAATTAGACTTCTCCCCCATACCCAGATTAAATACTTAAGTTTTCAGTGGGAAAAATGTCCAGGACTGCTGCCATTACTCCTGCAATGTCCTTTGGCTGCTCCCTGTTGACAATTTCCATCTGCGAGGCTTTGGACACAAGATCTACATAGCTTGTAGCCACTTGGTTTGTGCTCCTGTCCTTAAAGTTTTTATTGGTCTTCATGTTATAGGGGAAAGAAAACTAGTCTTCCTTTCCAATGTGCACAGAGATATGACCAGACCTGGCTTTACTGGAGCACGGTGGCCAGGAGAGAAGGGGAAGGGTGAAAAATGCCGAGCTTCCCCAAGATTACCACCAGATCATGTGGCACTGCAGTGCACTGGGGCCCTTGCCTGCTGGCTTTTTTCCCCTTCTGCCACAGAAACACAGTAGATCCACTTCACAGTATGGGTCTTGCCCATCAGTGAAGAGTCAAATAAAGTGAGGAAAATCTTGCAAAACTAACTACACTTTTCTCATTTCTTTGGCAGGGTACTTTCAATGCAAGATGATTTCAATGTTGTACTTGGTTTAGGTGGCAAGTTCCTTTTTGCAGGGAGAGTGACACTGGCAAATGAGCCTTTTTTATTTCTCATTCTCTCCTTCAGCTACCTTGTCTTTCCTTGCTCCAGACAGAGAAAAGAAGAAAGAAGAGTTGCTGGTGCTTTCCAACATATATGTCGGAGATTGCCACTTAGCACAGGCAGTGGCCAGGACAGAGTATATAAAAAGAAGTAGAGAAGTAGAAAGCTCTGCCTAGTTACAGCATGTGTTAAAATGATCTAGATTAAAAAAAAAAAAAAAAAAAAAAAGAAAGACACCTCCATGGTGCCAGCTGCTGAGAAAGAAGTGATGAGACTCTGGAAATAATGGATACTTGTAGATCTCTGAGCACTGAATTCATACAACTGACTTGTCCTTCCCTACAGCTGCATCTCATGCCTCAGTACCAACCAGCACCATCTTCTGCTCAGGGAAATCCCAGTAAATGCTCGCTCCCCGTGGGCAGCCTGGCACATGAAGATCCTCTCATAATACATAATCAGATGTGCTCCAATTTGCAGGACCCCTTCATCATCCTCAGCCTCTGAAGGAGAATATATTTGAGAGGTTCAGAAAACAGCTCAGCACCTGTAAAGTGCACTGTTTACAGGTGTGGGAATAGATAGCCATCTGTGAGCTCTGGTAGTATGTTCCTCACAGGGAAGACGACATTCAGCCTTATTGTCACTGTCACGGAGAAATGGAGGAACCACTAAGAAGTGGCACAGGTCAAGGAGGAAATGAACCCATAGCCGAGCACGTAGTGATGCACACAAAGTTAATGCAAAGACTTGAACTCTCTCCTGTAGGCAACAGCTGCTTTGCCCCACTTTGGCAGTGCAAGGAAGCTTCATGCTGAACTACCCTGACACAACTTTGCATTGCCAGAAAGAAAGAAAGAAACCTTCACGTTAAATTCTCAAAATTATCTTGTCAGACAATAAACCCAGCTAATGCTTATCTTTCCCTCTATATTAGGAATATATATATAGCAACATTAAAACTAAAACACTAAAACATGTAGCAGTACTAAGTCTATGTGGGGTCAGCCTACTTAGTCAAATAAACAGTTCTTCCTTCTGCTAAAGGAGGCAGGAAAGATACAGTGTAAGTTATTTCTAAAGCCTATATATCTTCTGTGATGACTCTCCCTGTATTTTGTTGGCTACTCTCTCTCCTAAGAAACAGTGCCCTAACATTTTCCAAGAACTGTTTATAAAAGTTTGGTCACCAGGGGACAGTATCTCACCACGTGACTTAGACATTCAATTGCCTGGAAGATACAGGAGAAAACCTTCAGTATCAAGAATTTATCAGAAAAAATAAGCTGAAATAGGCTTATTAAAGAGGATTTGCACAAATGTTTCCAGTCAAGGTTGGTTAATGGAAACTTTGCACAGAGATCTGGTTCTAATGAAGAAACTGTTTGCCATGACTAGTTCAGTCAGCTCCATTTGAATATATGGGTTTGGTAAGTGGTGTAATTAACCGCACCTTATTTTTAAACTAACTGAATAAATATTCACTCTCATAAATATTAATTCTCTCATAAAATGTGAGAATAATAAATTTTAGCTGTGTCAGTTGATTTGGCTTCAGTGAAGTCAACAAGAGCTATATAGATGATTAAATGATTCACTGCATTTTGTACATACACAGAAAGACAGATAAACCTAATTGCGTTTTACTGTTTCTTAAACATATTGTGTGATATCTATAACCAGTGGGTCCAGATGACTCAGAAAATATATATACTATAGAGTTCAGAAATGTTAGCGAGAACACCTGAAATTGCTAGATTTCTGCTGCCATCTGCTTGCCAGTGCCTTACTTATCAGGCACACTGCAAAACTAAATGCTGCGTGCTCCAAGTTCTGACAATAGTAAATTCACTCAAAAAGCTTGACTGAAGCTACTGAAAAATAAGCCCACAGGGATTCGAAATGCAAAAGCTACTCTGTACTACCTCTGTGTATTAATACTCCTCCCCACTCTAAAGAGAGCAATGTAAAATTGCACTGCAGTGCAGATTAAATACCAGAAGCTATCACAGAATAGTAATTCCAGTTTCACCATAGAGATAAACCCTAGCATTGTCTGTTCCTCTCACAAACATTTCCTCTTTAGAGTTAAAATCTTAACAGATTACAGACCCCCTCTCCTGACTAATCTATTTATCTGCCAGGACAATAAGACACATGAGGTCAATCATTTACTCATACTAACTCACTTTTGTGGCAAAAATGGAGCCCGTTCCCCCTTGGTGAACTACACCTAGCTGGAAGGGGATGATTTGATAAGTGAATTAGAAATGGAGACAGAAAGATCTTTGCACAACAAGCAGCGTGCACGTTGCATGACAAGCTGCGTGCAGTGAACAGATTTTCAATCTGTACACATGCACAAAGCATGAAATCCCTGTCTGGCACCACCTGTGTTTGCAAAGACCAGTCCAAAAGGGCTTCAGCTGGCATAAAGACTGCTGGTCATTGACATCTGTTTTTTGTTCAGTGGCTTCAATGCAGCTATGTTTATTTATACCTGTTTCAAATTTGGCCTCTTCTCCACGCTGCTCTAGAAGGCTGAGGGAGACTGCTAAACTACTCTGAATCTGACGTCTGTTTTACAGCTCATTTTCATGCATTACATTCCCAAGTGAATTTGCATGGAAGGTAAAATATAAATATGTACAAAGCAACATCTATATATCCATACATCTGCACACCCAGGAATAACACTTAGGTGTTTGTTTAAATGTCCTATCCCTGGTGGTGAAACATGTAAAGACACACAGACGTCCTGACTATACGCTCATCCCACACAAGCACAGGCAGATGCAGCCCACACGCAGCATGCACGATTACACACGGATGCCACATGCACTCCTTCCAATACAACAGCTCTGCAGCTTACTTGTCCCCAATCTCCTCTTAATGCCTTTCTTCTCCAAGCCCTTCACACGTCCCTCCACTCCTGTGAAAACAGTGATACTAACTCCTAAGAGTGTTGTACAAACCTTTGTTGGTAACTTCCCAAGAAACTTCAAAGAGCAACAAATCCTCCACTGGTAGGTCTTCATCCTCCCACTGAGGAAGCCCATTAAGAGAAGTCATGGACAGTGATCTAGCCAGTGGCATTTTCTTCAGCCCTTGAATGCTCACCACGCAGGCCACAACAGTTAGGAAATGTCCAGTTAATGTGGCAGTTCTCCACAGTTCTGGTTAGAGCAGTCTGCCGGCGTGCTGTGCTCCGAGGAGAAAATTATTCAGATAGCTGCGAGCTAATGGGTTTAAACTGTCTGACCACCAGCATTAAATTGGCTCAGTTAAATCCTCAGGGCTTGAGAAGCAGCTGCTGGCAGAGGTAAGAATTTAAGACTGACCTGAGAAAGGTCTTGACTGTTTTGGGGCCAGGGCTCTATCTTTTTCTTCTCTTAGGGGGAGGCAAAAAAATGGTTTTGAGCTCCTCAGCCCCAGCATTCAGTATCTACCACCTCAGGGACAACTGAAACTCAACGGTTGTAAATTCAGCACTGCCCTGAGCAAACTCCAGCAGGGAGGACACTTTGAGTTCACCACCTGATTTGAGTCCGGCCCCTGAGTCCTCCCCTGGAGATACGCACTCCCACTAACACCCATGGACCTTCTCTATCTGCTGGCCACTTACCAACCAGGTTAGTAGACTCGTTCTACATGATGTCTCTTAGGTTACTTGCCAGGTTAAACACTGTTACCTATTCTTGTTCAGTTCATTAGTCTGTAAGCACTAGTTTATCTCATATCCTTTTCCTCCACAATTAACTCCATCTGTGTTCCCAGGGCTCTGCGCAAGCTGTTGGTTTCATTCTGCTCTTGAGCAGCCCTGAGAGCTTTTACAAACAGAGCTACAAAGGCTCTATCCCTACTTTGGCATGCACTTTGGCCCTCCTTGCAGTCCTGGTCCCTGATTTTCCGCCTGTTTTCTCTTTTTCTATGCCACAGCTCTTTTCTGGCCTCTGGGCCCATGTCCTCTGCCCAGGGAAACTAGTGAGTACTAAGTCAGGGAACAGTATGCCCCTGTCTTGCTCCAGCACAGAGCTGGGATGCTGCAAGTGGTGCGCACACATCTGCAGAGATGTCATTCCCTAACTCGCAACCTGAGATCCTCAAAGCTCCACAGGGCAGCTGCCTGCTTAGAAGATGCTTATGTGCTTACACACCTGGTTGAGAAGCCCGTGCTTCTGGGACAGCTGCGTAAGTTGAATCCGATTCTGAGCTTAGAGCACAACCTGCCCAAAATCCACAGTTCAGCAGTGAGCAACTCTCCAGCTGAGATCCAGGGCATTTCTGGCACTGTGGAGAATAACATTGCACCAGCAGGCATGGATTACATAGTACCATAGAGGGAAAAGCTCTGATCTCACTTAAGACAAAACAAGTCCAAGGCAATTGGTTTAGAAGACAAGCAGCCCATCTGCACAAAAGTCTCTTAGACTTAACATAATACAGCTGAGCCTACCTTAACAGCTAACTATCCTCCAAAAGACTCGCTCTTCCCCTTACACTTCCCATGCCCTCTCTGCACTTACGGCAGTCAGACCCATCCCTGAGCTGATGGGTACAGCTCACCGAACTAACCTACGGACGCAGAAAACTTTTTTGCCAAGTTAGGAACTAGAGCTGTCTCAGCAAAGAGCCTGGCAAGAGGGGATGGAGCAGCACGGCCGGTACCACTTCACCCGCAGGCTGAGCTGGGCACTGGGGAAGGAGGTTTCCCTCCTAGGTTAACTGGAAGGCACTACAGCCTGCCCAGGCAAGGATTCAGGATTTTATTGGCTGGGTGTCTTTTTGTTTCAATGGTTTGAGTTGCCTTATTTACTCAGCCTGACCGAGAATCATTGTTTTTGGAGCAGCTGTGGCTCTTACTACCTGAAGTAGGTAGGAAACCAGATCACCCAATAGGTTAAAAGTCATGTTATTTAAAAGAAAAAAACCAGTAATATTTTAAGAGTCTCCTCATTTCTGAGCCATCAAATGTGCCCGAGTCACGCTTTCACACTTTTCACTGGAAGCCCTGAGGGCGACACTAAAAGCTGCCGGTCTCACAAAGGCCATCTCAGGTGATGAGTGGAGAAGGTAAGAACAAAGCAGCCCACAAGCCCGTCCTAATCCCAGAGGCTTTCGTCAGCCTTGTGTCAACAAACAGACTGCAAAACCAGACATTTTAAATGAGAGAGCAGGGGCGGAACAAAGCAGCCCACAAGCCCGTCCTAATCCCAGAGGCTTTCGTCAGCCCTGTGTCAACGAACAGACTGCAAAACCAGACACGAGAGAGGAGAGAGCAGGGGCAGTTAGCCCACAATCTGCCCCACCGAGTCCCACCAGGCTGGGGGCCGGGGGCTGCGTCCCGCCCCGCCGGC